ACCAAAACCCCTATGTAGAAGTCTAGGTAAAAGAAAGACAGCCCCATTCTTGTTAGCTGTATTTTATGAAAATGAAAATAGAGAAAAAAGAAAAACATCAGCATCTTCCCGTTTCACCACGAAGCCCTGCTGAGCCCAAAACAGAGCCCCCTGAGCCAGCTGGTCCCGAGGCTCACTGACCTGAGCCACACCGACACCAGCCAGCCTCAGGACAGCACTGCTAGAGCACCACAAACTGTAAATGTCTGTAGATGTTAATTGTAAATGCTTTGGCAACACTGAAATTCACTGGTCATGCCAATAAAGAACAAGTCAGGCTGCTGTTTGTCTGAACAACACTCTCTATTCCACAGCTACAGCTGTAAAGCAAATTCAACTCGGGTTCCTAAAATACCAGCCACTCCTCTATTCTCACTCTTGGCCCCTTGGACAAACCCTGCAAGGTGATGTTACTCTTTCTGTGAAGTTTCTTAAAATGATCAAATTAACCATTCAGGCCATGATCTCCTAGCCTTTTGTTAATTGGCTTCTGAGATAAATGTACTCTGTCCCTCTGGCAACAGACTCCTGAAATAGAACAATCTCTACTCCCCTGATACCTTGTCCATTTTCTCCTTAGCGGAGGGATGAGACAGAGCTGGAAGGGATCAGCAGTCTGCCTTCTTGAGACCGGACAGCAGTGCCCGCGCGGTCCTGGAAGAGCTCCGGGCTGGGATTCCTCCTGTCTGGCCGGGGCAGTGACTCAGGGTCTCCCACTGGGGGCGCCCTGCCTGGGTTATTAACCTGCAGTCTGGGCGTGAGCATTGCTACAGCCTCTTCCTGTCCGATACTCCCGTCAGCCGCAGGCCCTCTTCGAATGAGCACGAATCTCTAACGGGCACTGAGCGCTGGCCCCTTGTGTCTGAAGCCCAGCTCTCTAGCTCTACAGTGGCAGCTGTACACCACACACACACAGTCCTCAGTCTCCTGGCTGTGTCCGTCACATGCTTGAGGAACAGCCCCCAGCTCGTCCCCCGCTCAGTACCTGTGGAGACATGCAGCACTACGGACAGCCCCTCTCGGGTCCTGCTGGCACCCAGGAAGTCGAAGAGGAAGGAGATGCTGGACAGGAGCACAGCGCAGTAACACAGAGCGGCCAGGGAGTAGAGCAGTCTCATCCCCGGGCCCTGGGGCCCTCCCAGAGGACCTGTCCACCACAGAGCACTGTTAGCACACAGACACACACAGAGGGACAGCGGACACACAGACACAGACGCTCAGAGAGACAGTAAACAGACATTCTCAGGGGGACAGTGGACACAGACACACACAGAGGGACAGCGGACACACAGACACAAACACTCAGACAGACAGAAAAAGACACACACAGAGGGACGGTGGACACACAGACACACAGGCTCACAGACAGTAAACAGACACACTCAGGGGAACAGCAGACACACCGACACACAGAGGGACAG